AAACATGTGGACTCAGTTACTCTTGTGGCTGTCCTCATTGCATATGTATGTGCCGCAGTTTTCCTTTCACACTGCAGAAGTTGGAGAGGAGAATGTTTAAATGTTTTAATGAATCTTTTACTTACACAATGAGAAGAAAACCGATATCCTACCTCGTCCACGCTTACCACGAATGTGATAGCTGTTATTAGAATGAGCTTGGGGGACAGTTCACAGCCGTGAGCTGGGTGCTAAAGCATTCCCGTCCCAAATCATAACACAACAGGGTGGAGTTTAACCTAGAGCAATGGAGGTGCAGTTTATAAAATGCATGACAACTATGGATGTATGCGTCACCTGTCACTTATTCAGGATTTTGCAGAAGCTTTAAATTTATCGACTGTCCTTCTTGTTGTCACAGCTGGCTGTTTGTCAGATTCTTCCCTTTGACTGTAGTAAATGCTTTCAGCATCACACTACATGCAGGAAATGTAAGATCAATGTGCATATTTGCCCACATGGCACAGCTGCATTAACCTTATTAACATATAAAAGCTATGCTTATACTATATTATCTTTTTTAGGTTAAATATAACACACTATGCACGTGTGAAGTATTCCCACCCACGTCACTTCTGCTCATTTGTGCTGTTCTTGGTTGATTGTGTTGGCAATTATCGAAACAAAGACTGCATCTGTTTAAAAGAACAAGCGTGTTGCTGTTAAACCACTTTCCACTCACATCTGCACCTTTTCATAATTGTGTCAATGCTCTAATTGGCCCTTTCAGTAAATCTAGACATATATGGTTGTCTTCTAATTGAGCATCTACATATACTTTTTAATTTAGCATTTGTCATTTGAGAACAGACCAATGTGAAAACAACTTTAGTGGGACTCTGAAGCTTTAAGAATAGAATAGAATAGAATAGAATGCCTTTATTGTCATATACATGTACAATGGGATACAGAGCATCTATATATACACTATATACATATGAACAGTATTCAACAATATAAAATGTACAAATAGACAAATCAGAAAAATAAATAAATTAATAGTGTTATATATTTACAGTGTGGGTTATTGCATGCAAATTAAGGCTACGTCCACACGTACCCGGGTATTTTTGAAAACGCAGATTTTTCTATGCGTTTGCACCTTTCGTCTACACGTAAACGGCGTTTTTGATCACTGAAAACTGAGATTTTATAAACTCCGGCCAGGGTGGATATTTTTGAAAACTCTGTTTTTGCATTTACGTGTGGACGAGAAAAACGGAGAAAACGCAGCGTCAAAGGTGTGCGCATTTTTTGACGTCACACTGTGCGCCACGTTATTGTTTCGGTGAAATGAATTTCTACAATACTGTTACTGTTAATTGTTCTCTCTGCAGTGTTTAAATGCTTACATATACACACACAGTTACTGTCCCTCCACACATACGACTCTGTTCTGCTTCTATGCCCCAGCTTTGTTTACTTTTTCCCACCGAGGCTTCTAGACTTCTGATTGGCCAACATTTCTGCATGGTTAGGAATATATCGCCACCTGTTGCTTTGGCATGTTCCTAGCAGCGTTTTCCTTCATTTCTGCCTTTACGTGTGGACGGGATTATTTTTTAAAACGAAAACGGAAAATCTCAGTTTTCAAAAATACCCGTGTACGTGTGGACGTAGCCTAAGTATTGCACAGTGATGATAGTAATTGTGTATAGAGGGAAGTCCTTGGATTGGGGGGTGGAGCTGTGTTGTCAGTTCCATTCTGCGCATCTGTAATTTGCTAACATACACCTACCACCTACCTATCCAGATAAGTAAAAAAAAAAAAACAGTCAGGTGGTTATATATGCAAAATGCCACTAGACTCAGGCCCAGATGAAGACACTAATCTCAGAAGGCATTGTGAAATTTGAGACCTTACAAAATAATGAGACATGCGCTCAGCAAAATAATCTCTTGAACTGGCAAAGTACAGTTTAATGTCATTTTAATTTAATTGTTACATTCTTGCAGGCTACAAAATATTTTTTATCTTTCCACAAAGCTTGACTAATCTTTTAGATAGTTTGTTGCATATACAAATTATTATAAGGAGATTTAAGCATATGATTAGTAAGACTGTATCATTTGGTTTTTACCAGCTAAGGAAGCTTTCTACAGCTCCGGCTGCTTTGGAGACTGCAGTGAGAGCATGTGTCTGGCTGTACCTAAGTTGACTTGCAAAGGCAGCAGGAGTGATCTCCTTCCTGGCCTCAGCCCAAAGGCTTCGCAGAAGAGACAAGACACCTAACAAGTTTATATCAGTTGAATTACAAGTGAACTGCAGGCACAGGTGCTGTGGCTTTTATACAGGGTGAACCTCCAAGTGATAGTGTGAGTGATTTTAGAATGACCTGACTGGACTGAAGTGGAGGTCGAAGGTAATGGAGCTGTTTTAGAGGCCAGGCTTTTCTCAGCAAGGTGTGGATGTAGAGATGCTGATCTGGGCTCAGAGACACCAAAGGGAAAGGTGTGTGTGTGTGTGTGTGTGTGTGTGTACAGGTATTACTCATGTTGTGGGGACCTAAATCTGTTTGCACGGTCGCATATGGAGACTAAAAGCAATTTCCTGTTACATAAATCATTTAATTTTTAGGAAAGATGTGCGTTAGTGTTTGGGTAAGGCTAAGTGCAGAGTATGCAAGTAATAGTTATGGTTACGTTTAGAGATGGGCTTTATTAAACGAATGCAGCTCCATGGAGACACGACTGTGTGTATGTGTATGGACGAGATCACTGTGTATTTACCGTAGTTGTTGCCAAAATGCTGCCAGAACTCTAGCTCTGACTGGATTAAAAAGACTTTTATTTTCTAATCTTATTAGCTTTAAGAAAACGTACTGCTCTGTTCTGGTCCAGCAGACTGGGTGGCACGATCACCCTTCAACTGTCCTCTCCAGTTGAGCCAAGTTTAAAACCCCGTGATTAAAGTCTAACAATCCATTTGGCTACTGCCTGTGGCGGCACTGGTCTGGATGTTCCTTAGCTGTTTTAAGCAATACTAAGTCTGTATTTATGCCAGCATTTGCATCGCATCAAAAACCAAGTAATGCCATACCCAGATTTCTCCCGTCCACACAAGCTTTGTTTCAGGTCCATTTTTAGCACTTGCAGCTAATTATTTAATAAAAAAATTTCTAGCATGCACCACTGGAAATATAACCTCATAAATCCTACAATATTTATCAATCAACACATCACTTTGTGGCAAAGAAAAATCAGATTAATTCAACTTAATTTTATTCCAGATTGTTCTCCTGGTGCTACTAGTGAGACCCACCCAACCATTCAAGAGCTTTCAATACATATTATTATACTATAATCAATATCATATATTTATAACGATGCACAGAAGAGGACAAAACTGTTTTCCCTGAAAAAAGGGCATCCGTTCCCTTTTGTTCCCTCTGTAATTTCTGCCCATGGTTGCACTGATATCACAGCAGTCTTTGAGGGTGTAGGCCAGTCAAATTTCAGAGGTGATGGTTGTGATTGTCCTTTTAACCATGGCTCTGCCCATCACAGATAAACTTAAATATAAACCTCTGCAGTGTTTTGGTGCCCTAAACATATAAATGTATTACTCAGACTAGGCTCTGTCTTCTTACCAGCACATGGTCACACCACCAGACCACTCTGCCTGAGCTGAGCTGTGTTAGCCTAAACCTTAGCTTGGGCTTTGAGCCTGAGACATTGTTTGCTCAGTTGTTGGACCAATACAGAAAATCTGACAGAATGGAGAATTACTAACAGCACAGAGATCCCACAGAGCTCAGTGGTCAGGTGTTGTTGTACCCGGCAGCTCAGTATGTCAGCGTGAAGCGCGAAGGGAACAGCAAGACTTTTCCCAGGTTAGAAAAAGTGCGAAAACGACTCCACTTGACAACATTGATTTGTGAGGAGTGACTGGCCTGTGTGGGATTCCTCTTGAATCGTGGGAAGTGTGTTCTCAGCAAGCCCATCATCAGCGTAGCACCACATGTCTCACTGAAAATAAAAGCAGCCTGGAGAAGCTCACATTAGAAACAGGAAGCGCTTAAGCATCCGGTGACACAGTCCACTTTACCAGCTCATTCACCTCATTGATTTTCTTAATCAAAGGCTAAACTGATTTGCAGACCAGTGCTGTTGCATAAGCCTACAAAATGTACTTGATGCACTAAACAGACTGTTTCTGAGCAAGGAAAAGAAATCTGTAGAGAAAGTTTCAATACACAAAGCCAGGAGTGTGGAAATATTTCATAATATTTGACTGAAACTTGACCTCTGTGTGGAGGTCAAAACAGAGGAGATCACAACTGAGATGTAGAAAGATCCAAAGAAGCACCACCCTGCTGATGGTGTCAAGACTCTGTGAGCTGTGGGAAGATGGACTGACTGCTTTGGTTTTTCTTTTCACTTGTCAGTAATAGAGCAAAAAAATGAGGCCTTTGAATATGGACCCTGTTTTTATTCCACTTGGCTGAAAATCAATAAATGCATTTAGATTAGTTTGAAAAGTATTGGTTAATAGTTTACAGGGCTTTTACACCTTTTAAATAAAATTGAAATGTTAGACAGAAAATAAAATGGAACAAATGTGGCTTTGACTAGATGAAGAAAACAACGGGTTCAACAACCAGGACGATGGGTATTTTTCTCTAAAGCAGTCATTTCCAACCTGTGAGGCTTAGATCCTGCTGGTGGGAGGCAGAAAGAACAAAGGTTTTTATTTCAAAGCAAATTTCTTGTGAATCAATTTTCTGGTGAATGCTTTTTCCTCATGAAATAATTAGTAAGAGACGATACTGTGTGCTCCAATAATTTATTGAAAATGCATGAGAAAGCAGCACAGCGGTGTTTTGGATTTTCTTCTGATGTCTGTAGCTAACTCTCAGGTCACAGTGTTCATCCATTTAAGTTTACAGGTCACAAACCTTAGAGTAGAATCTGCGCTATAAAAAAACCAACAAAAACGCCTGTTTTTCACCTCCTTTCAGGTTATATTGAAGAGGCGTGCATCATCCCCTGCCCTTCAGACTGTAAACTCAGTGAATGGTCCAACTGGTCACGCTGCAGCAAGTCCTGTGGGAGCGGAGTCAAAGTTCGCTCCAAATGGCTTCGGGAGAAGCCTTACAACGGAGGTCGGCCGTGTCCTAAACTGGACCACATCAACCAGGTACTGACAGCGAAACTAATCTACGTGCTAAGACATGCGAGCTGGTGGCTGAGCAGGAGATTAAAGTCAAAGCTGAAGCTCTTTTCAGCTCACCATTGTTTAATATTTATGAGCTGAGCTACAATATATCTGTAGTTATTACAAGTATGCTGCACATTATACATATCCAGCACTAGAGAGAAAGAAATAAATTAATTATTTATGACAATAAACTTGAGTCTGCAGAGCTTTCTCTTACCTTCCACTCATTATTGCTGCAGTCATTTTTTTCTGAGCAGCGACACTGCAAAAAGCAACGGGTGCTATAAATGGATCCCATCCACTGAATTAATGCCCCCAAATGTGCCAGTTGATTCCTTAAGGTTCTATGATTTGCTCAAATGAAATGCTTTCCAGGCCTTAGAGTATCAGCAAGTACACCTGGCAGTGTGTGTGAATCTGCTAAGTTCACACAGGTATTTATGCCACAGGCTTTTCTGATTATGAACTCTTGAATGTTGCATTAATCATAGGTTTTGCACTGTATGAACAGTTGGCATCTGCTCATTAATCCATCTGTCTCCTTTTAATCCAACCCGATGCTCGCTGGATGTGACTCATTGCTACAGGCCCAGGTAAGAGCTGCTCTCCTCAGCTAATTGTAACGTACTCACAGTGTCACCAGTGTCAGTAGGTCACTGACAGATAAATGTACACACTCACAATGTCATGAATGTAGCTAAACAAGGTCCTATAGGAGACTTGAGTTTTATTTATGCAGACATTTCTCAGTGGCAAAGCTTCTCTGGGGGCAGAAATAATCTCGTTGGCTGAGTTAAACCTCAGAGAGCTGAGCTAAAGAATCACAGTGTATTAGGCAAACCTCAACTGACAAACTTGCATGGCTAAGATGAAATATTAAAAAAGAAATATATTTGTAGAGGCGACTTTTTTCATTTTGACCACGAGGATCATATTTGTTAGCCTCTGAGACGTTGCCTGCAGCAAAAAAGTTTAGAAAAGAAACTGCAATCTGCTACACTTGATTTGCTGCTCTATCAACTTCAGAGTGTTTGTTATTTTTCTCAGGTGTATGAGGTGGTGCCGTGTCAGAGTGACTGCAAACAGTACGTGTGGGTGGCCGAGCCGTGGAGTGTGTGGAAAGTCAGCAACGTGGATTTGAAAGAAAACTGTGGAGAAGGTGTCCAGACCAGAAGAGTCAGGTATTTGTCAGATTGCCTGCCATTGTGGCTTTGCTTATTTGTTTTCAGTGTTTACCAAAACATTTTTATTGTAATTGAGCATGGCATTTATTCAGGCAGGCCACAAAGTTAAGCTCAGCCTCAATCCTGGCAGATCAGCAGATATCAGCTGCAGCCAGCATTAACTGATAGCTGTTTGTGCTTCACAGCAAATCTCATATAGGGTTTTTTATTTAAGCTGCACTGGAGTGGCTAAGGTTGCTATGCAAGCCACTTTGCAGCCCACAAACCTTCCAGCTCCTCCTTTCATTCTATGCCTGACTTATTCAGTGTGTTATATGTTGTCACTGATGCTCTGTTCCATATGAGGCTCTCATTACTTATACAAAGCTTAATGCAGGGATGTCCAACTCCAGTCCTCAAGAGCTACTGTCCTGCAGCTTTTAGATGCATCCCTACTCCAATATAGCTGAATCAAATGGTTGAATTACCTCTTCAGCATGCCATCAAGTTTGACAAAGGCCTGATAATAAGCCATTCATTTGATTCAAGTGTGTCGGAACAAAGATGCATCTAAAAGCTGCAGGACGGTAGCTCTCGAGGACTGGAGTTTGACATAATGATAGCATAGAGGCTCCACACACCCATAACACCTGTTAAAATCATTGCAGATTTAAAAAATCTTATTTTTACTGACTGAATTTTATTTTGTGTCTTTTAGAGTTTAAATAATTACAACTCCACTAATTGATGCTGCTCTTCTTAATTCAGTTATTCGATATTTGGTGTTCCTATGACACACCATTAAAGTACACAAACATATGCACATTTTCTGTTTTTGTAAAATCATGATCTGGTACTGATCAGCTGATGAAGTAGATTGAATTACTCAAAACAAAAGCATCTTAAAAACAGTGGATTGAAACACACATACATGGGAGCAGCTCTGCTTGAAAAGATATCAACATATACAGTCCTGATAATAACCAACCTGGCATCTTAGCATGATTGTTGGTGGTCCATTAAGCTGCTAGAGCGGCTAATGTACAGTCAGAGTGAGTAAAAATGCTAATGACCTCAGCTGAGTTGTCCCTCCTTAGAGCAGGTGAAATTAATACTGTAAATGGCCTACTAGGGTGTAACGAGCTGCAATTTAAATAAAATATTCCGACTGAGGTCGTTGAGGAAATCCAGGTTCTGGTTTAATTGAAAAAAACAATTTACTTTTTACTTATTGTAAAAAATGTTTTTGTTAAAACTTACAATAAAAGTTAAAATAAAGGTGAAACTAGACTTTTTTTATAGACCTGACCTCACCTACTCTGGGGGATACACCTTGCCGTGTGAGAAGCACATAGGTTGTCAGGTACTTCATGTACCTGCCAGCTCCCTGTCCAGTTAAAACACACTGTCTGACTATTTCTTTCTTTGCACCACGACAGCAGAATTGCTAAAACAAGGTCAAACTCTGGGTGTTTCTTGCCCGATCCCACAGGTGCATGCTCAACACAATTGACGGCCCGTCTGAGTCCGTCGAGGACTACCTGTGCGACCCGGAGGAGATGCCCTTGGGGGCCAGGGAAAGCCGGCTGCCCTGCCCGGAGGACTGTGTCCTCAGCGACTGGGGCCCCTGGAGTCGCTGCACCCTGGTGAGAGCTGAACCCACATCAGAAAGCAGCAGCTCAGCTGTCTGGCACAGAGCAGATATGGCAGCGTCAGATTTCTGTGAAGTCCACTGATATGTTTTTCTTGTTGGAAAAATTTTTCTGAGGTTCAGGAATTCAAAGCGTGGCTGCACTGTATCATTGTGAGCAGTGTGTGAATCTTTGTCAACAGGTTATTTCTCATCCACCAAGGAGGAATAAAAGAGATATATGAACTGGGAAGAAGGAGAAAAATGGCTTATATATCACCTATATTACACTGAACTCACTGTGCATTCAGCAGGGAGGGATCGTGATTTATGATAAAGATTCAGGAGCATGTAGAGCCACACACACACACACACACACACACCCCTGGATATATTTCAGCAGTAATGTAGCAGCAAACATAAAAGCTGAGGCTAAAAATATTGCAGCTAATTTGTGAACATGATTTGGCAGACAACCAAAAATAGTCTTACACAAGACCACAAATTCAGTTTGTAAAAAATTACATCACTGTAAAAAAGTTATGGTAAATTAAATATAACTGATATTGGTCTACAGCTGAGACAGTTTCCTATTCCACGGTGACTTCAGATTTGTAAAAAGACAGCGGCCCCTGCAATCAGCACACACCTACATGCTGCAGCACACACGCAATGTTCATTCTTTTTGCAAAAACTTCCAAAGGTGTCAGAACATCCTGTTCAACTCCTCCGCCCGACACCTCCGTTTGATGGTAAAAAGCCGCTTTAACTGCTCTGGTTTCACCCGCTGTTCTCACAGCAGCACCCTGGCCATTGTTAATCACACCCCATTCTCTCCCAAAGTGCTTGACGCGCACCATCTTCCCACAATTCCAGTCTCGACGTGGAGTCTGCAGTGGCACCAGCAGGGCCTCTCACATGTTTTATTCATCATGCCAGCAATGGAGTTATTCAAAAGGCTGTCATTTTCTCCCCCAACTCTCTTCTCTGCGAGCAATGACCGTGTAGAGTCTGGTGATTTACCATTCCAGCAGAATATCTGTTTCAGCCCTTCTGTCAACTCCTGCTGGAACAAAAACATCGAATTCCACATTTTGGGAAAGAATGAGTCTTATTTAAAGGCATTCCTCCAGGCGTAGGAAAGCCATCGGAGAACATCTTGACATTAACATTTTAAATGAACCGCGGCCCAATAACTTCATAAATAATTCTAACACATTTAGTGCCTTCAATCATCAAAACACATGAACACCATGGCTGCAGGAACGCTATGACTTTGTTCCGGGTCAAGGATATGCCTCCATTCACTTCTTATCACTCGCTACAATATGGCCTGTTTAATCATTTATGCATTATAATGGCTCAGGTTTTTAATGGGAAGTCTCTGTTCCAGCCCTGTACCAGAAGTAACTATCGAGTGCGGACAGCATACACCATTCGACCCCCCAGCGTGGGAAGAGAGTGTCCAGACACGACCGAAAAGGAACCCTGCAGCCTTAACCTCAACTGTTTCAACTACTTCTACAACATCACAGGTAAAAGGAAATGTTGAAGAAGCCCAGGTTTATAGCCTAACCCACACTCATTGGTTGGTTTAAAATGGCACACTGAATCTCCCCAAAAAGGATGTGCTGATATAAAAGTCAAAGGGCTTTTTTGCTGGTTATTAATCGAGAAACAATCAGCTTATAGCAGCTGTCTTTTGACAATAATCAGGTGGAGAAAGAAAAGCGTCTTACAGACAGTTCATGGCAGGAAAGGCACAGACTCTTGGGACTGTTAATGTTCTGTTGTAGTTGCTGCAGTCATGTTGTGTTTGCTCCTTGAGTATTGTGATTGTACAATATGTTTTTATGGCTCAGAACAGCATGACGCTCCACACATTGTCTTGGAGAAGGTCCTGGCTCACTTGAGCCTTCCAGACTATAAAAGCCAGCCCAGACGAACTGCTAATAGCTGTTTTTTTTCCGTATCTTTTATTTAGACTCCTTCCAAGCCACATACAAAGAGCAGGTTTGTGACTTCCTGTGTCTTCCTCCCCTCACGCAGATGGCTGCCCCTCCCTGAGCCTGGTGTTCTTTTTCCCCACTGTTGCCAAAACACTTGCTCATAGAGGATCATCTGATTGTTGGGGTTTACCCTGTTTTCTTAGTATTATTGTAGCGTCTTTACCTTAGAATATAAAGCGCTGACAGGCAACTGTTGTTGTCATTGGGCGCTGTATAAATAAAATTCATGTTCATGCATGTTCAGGATTTTGGTGGGTGTCTCACACCGGAAGTTGCTGTGGCGATGATACATCTAACCAGTGTTAATGTTCAGTTAATATGTGAATGTTTAACAACGCCATGGTGATGTAAGTGCGTGGTGGCATGGTGATGCAGGAGTTCCTTAAAATAGTAGAGATGTGCTATTAATCATCAAGTCCTTACTGTGAGAAGTAAAAAGAAGTATTCTGGCCTTTTTAGGTTTGTCTGTGTTATTTCACTACATTTCCGAGTGGATGAGGATGATTAACACGGGGATTGTGGCCCCCTGGCAGTCTGTATCATCACGTATTTCCTGAAAATGGCAGCACTGCTGCTGCTTGTGTGATTTTTGGGGCTGCTGTCAGTGATGTGAACCAAATCAGTGACATGAAAATCAGCCCCTTAAATGTAAGCCTTAAAATGCAGCATCCATTTCAGATTGAGCCCCTCGCGGGACGAGCGATCAATAAACAGCTCATCTATTTTCTTTTTTTTCATTATCCTTATCGCTTTTGTTTCATTCTAGTAGGATAATTGCAGACCATGCGGGGTCTTATCAAAACCTTGTATAATGGCAATGTAACGTTAATAGGACTGTTTTTAGTCCAGCTCACAGCTGGACTTCACAATGTTCGTCTCTAAAAGCCGGCTATTTGTTGGTTGCTTGTTTATCTCTTTAGCGCCGGTTTGCACAGGGAGGTTGAATAGGCAAACATTATGTTTGATTTTTCTGCAGCTACAACCATTAAAGCCTGGAAGAGTACAAGTAAACCAGTTGGCTGCAGGCCACTGTGGTTAAATGCCTTGCTCAGTGGCACCTCTGTGCGCGACTGCTTAGAACAGAAAACATTTCTGATTAACTGTAAACAGAAAGATTTCCAAAATAGATTTGAGCTGGCAGCCTACCCGAGCCTCCCCCTCGAATCCTCGGGACATCACAGCTCCACCTCACATGTCACTGAGGTTATGCATTAATGTTTCATTTTGGAAACTGTAAGAAACAATTTCAATAGAAGTGAATAAAAGCAGAGTTTGGCACTCACTTAGTTTGGAAGCCCACCCTCCTGCTCCCTCTGCTCTGTGGAAGAGGTGACATATTATCCCAACCGCTGAGTTCACAGTGGCATGCAGGTATCCTGGGGTATATGTACTTAATATATGAGCAGAAATTATTATTGGGTATTCTTTTTCCATTGTCGATGCAGAGATCATCCAAGCTGCTCCTTCCTGCAACGTGTCTCTCCTTTTCTTGCTGCCTTTCTCTCTGTCTCTTACTGTCAGTCTTTCTTGTTGCGATCTCCCTGTTTCCAGTCCCCAGAGTGCCACAAAGCTCCTCAGCAGAAGGAGACACAATTTCCCGAGTTGAGCTTGCAAACGAGCTCACTGCAGCTAAAAACAGCCGCTCATCGCACGGCGCTCTTCGTGAGTGATACCTCAGCCTCCCCGTTGTTGCAAGTTTTTTTCTTTTTCCTTCTTCTTTTTTTTAAAGCAGCACTGTGGTTGTTTAAAGGCAGTGAAACCCCAAGTCTGGAATAAAATGCTGCTTTTTCCCTTCACAGAAATAATTTTCTCAGGGTGCCAAGTTCTGCTTCCTAAATCTTTGGATTTTTCTGTTCATATTCATTGGACTGAATTTGTATTGAAGCAGCTTTTAAATTCTGCTTATTTTTCAAAGGAGGCGACTCAAATCAGACCAAATGGCCACACAAAACAATGCCGCCATAAAAAGACACTGATGGCAGCCAGATTTATTGGATATAAGTGAGACGTTAGAAATCTTAAATGACCTCTTTGCAGGCATCTGTTATTAAAAGTCATCTTCAACAGCCAGAAGCTATAAAGACTCCAGAAATACAACAAAGCCACACTGATTATTTTTAAAGAGGTGGCAGAAGGAGACGAAGAATGTAATGCCACAAAGGTAATGAGCTGAAGTCAAACTTACAGTGTGGCAAGTACAAGGCGTGCGCACTGCTCTGCTGAGTCATCTGGCAGCTTAAAATGGTTCATTTATATGCTTGGCATGTGTATCCTAAAAGGTCTATGTAGTTTCTGCTCTCTGATGGCTGGGAAATTTTAGTGTGTCAGCAGTGGAGCTGGTAATTAACTTGATCGTGTCACATTGTGTCAATACGTCATATCAAAAAAATCTACCAATTAATTGATGTTTTATATAAAAAGCCTTGTTCTTGTCCTTGCTGGGAGACTCTGTGTATGAGCGTACTGTATAAAAGCTTAAGGTAAGCAACTTTCAGAGAAGAATGAGACAACATAAAGCGACTGCATTTTTGTGTGCTCCCCCATAAAAAGCCGAAGACACACTACGGTTGTTTCTCACTGTTTGGGATTTATTCTCTGTGAAGTGTAAAGACTTCGTGACAGCTGAGGCATTCGAACACTTCTAAACAGCGTCTCCTTGTGTTTTGTCCCCTCCACATCATCCCGCTTGAACTGAAAATACATCCAAGTACAGAGGCAGAACACTTGTGAAAGGCTGGTTTCTTGTGACTTCAATGCTTCCTCCTCTTCTTTTCGCTTCCTGCTCTCATCTAAATCATGACACCCTCTCACCTGCCTTTCAGCTCTGCGCGCACTCAGGGTGGTAAAATCAACAGCTGCAACCTGCTGAACGCTGGCAAATATTTGATATGTGGTAAAGTTATGTGCTCTCAAAGCAGGCAGATAACAGTTGTGTTGTAAGGGTCATTTAATGCTGTAAAACACAGCGCACTTGATGCCAGGATTGCCTTTTACGTGATAGCTTATTAGTGAACGCTGCTATTTAATAACTATATTAATTAAGTAAGTAAAGTAAGTAAAGTTTTATTTGTATAGCATCTTTCAAGACAGAATGAAAAGCTAAAACAGAAAAACAGAAATCAACCAAAAGCAAGTTTAAAACGATTTTTAGGTTTTTAGCTGTTTTTTAAATGAAACCACTGAGTCCACAGATCTCAGGCTTAAAGGATGGGAGTTCCAGAGTCTGGGGGCCACAGTTACAAACACCCTATCACCTTTGGTTTTCAGCCTCGTATGCTGGACGACCAGCAAGCCCTGATCACATGACCTCAGGGACCTGCTGGGGATGTACTGATGTAAAAGATCTCTGATATAGGTTGGTGCTTGTCCCTGCAGAGCCCTGAATGTCAAAGTCAAAATCTTGAAGTTGGTTCTGAATTTTATGGGGAGCCAGTGCAACTGGATCAGCAGGAGTGTAGCGTGGGAGTATTTAGAAGATTTGGTGAGAAGCTTTGCGGCAGCGTTCTGAACAACTTGCAAATGATCCACAGAGGCTTTACTTAAACAAGTGAACAAAGAATTGCAATAATCCAAACGAGATGAGACAAATGCATGGATGACCATTTCTTGTTCTGAGCGTGAAACCATGGGACTCAGCTTAGCAATATTTTTTAAATGATAAAAACAGGAGCGAACCAATAAATTAGCATGAGTGTCCAAAGTCAGAGCTGAGTCAAAAGTTACACCAAGGTTCCTGATAGAAGGTTTGGCAAATGTCAACCAGTCCAAAGCAAACCCTGATATACCCACGCAATGTCTCAGCCTATCTAGCAAAATGTGATGGTCAACAGCATCAAAGGCAGGCGTCAGGTCCAACATCAGCAGGACAGAGCATCAGAATTCATCAGGATGTCACTGGAGACTCTAATAAGTGCAGTTTCAGTAGAGTGTGCTTTACGAAAACCAGACTGGAATTTATCCAGAATGCTGTATATTTATCTAGAACAGCTAGAATTAACTATTTTAAATAATCATTAATCAAGTAAGCGCTGTTTCCTGTCACAAACCCGCAGATCCTTATCACCCAACTTAGCAGTTCCTCTCAGTTATTCGGAGCGTTTAGCATCTTTCAGCTCATTATTTTGGTATCCAGCCTCCAACTGTGTTTGTGCACTCAGAGAGCTCACATCAAGGTTTTATTTGCAGACTGAGCAGCTGTTTTTGGTGCCAAAAAAGCCTTTGAAAAGCTGCAGAACCACAGAGCTAGCACCTAGCAGGCAAATGTACTAAACAGCCAGAATTTTCTTTAAGTCATTTGTAAAATGAAACTTATGGGCTCAAAATGTGGTCATAAATATTTTATACTTGTAAATCAGGATTTGTATGTGTAAAAAGATTTGTGTGTGGACTTAGCCAAAAAAA